ACAAAAACAAAAAGCACCTCCACCTGTGATTCACACACTTTATACAAAAACTAACCCAAAAGGAAGCACAGACTTAAGTGTAAAATGTACAGCTATAAAATTTCCAGAAGAAAAATTAAAGAAAATATTTGTGATCTTGGGTTAGACAGAATTCTTAGATATGATACCAATAGCAACATTCATAAAAGAAAAAGAATGATAAATTAATCTTCATCAATATTAAAAACTTGTGCCCCGCAGAGGACATGGTTATGAAAAATAAGATGCAGAATGGGAGAGATATTTGCAAATCACATCTCTGACAAAGGACTTTAATCCAGAATACATAGAGAATTTACAAAACTCAACAATATGAAAACAATATAAAGAAAAACTGTCGATTGATAATTTAGTCTGCATTAAAATTAATTCTTCTTTCCATCAAAAGACACCATTTGTCTTAGCTAGGCCGTTATAACAAATTACCACACACTAGGAGGCTTTAACTACAAACATTTATTTTTCACAGTTCTGGAAGCTGGAAGTCTAAGATCAGTGTGCCGTCATGGATGGGTTTTTGGTAAGTGCCTTTTCTTGGTTTACAGAAGGCTGTTTTCTTGGTGGGACCTCACTTGGTAAAAACAGAGCCAGAGAGTTCTCTGGGGAGGTCTCTCTTTTTTTCTTTTTCTTTTTTTGGCATGTGGCCAGTAAGGGGATCCGAACCCTCGACCCTGGTGATATCAGCACCATGCTGTAACCAAGTGAGCTAACCAACCAGCCCTTGGGGTCTCTCTTATAAGAGCACTAATTCCATACTTGAGGGCCCCACCCTCATGACTTAATCACCTCCCAAAGGTCCCACCTCTTAATACCATCATTTTGGGAGTTAGGATTTCCACATATGAATTTGGGGGGAACACAAACATTCTGTGCATGACACCATTAAAAGGATGGACCCATTAGGTGAAGGGCTAATAGGAAACTTTTTTTGAGATTATAATGGGTGGATCCAGCTGACAACCTGGACCCACACCTAAAATATGTTTCAGTGCTGGTCATTGTCTTCTGTTTGCCCACAACTCTATTCTGTCATCCTGAACCACACAATTTCCCCTGTGGCTTCCTTGTGTGTAGCCACACGACTGATTTCTAGAAAGCTGAATTTGAGGAATGAGTGCCACTTCCAGGGCTGGCTTGTAAAAACCTTCAACGGGTATTTAATTTTCTTTGTCTGTCCAATGGCAAAGCTACAAGACAGAAGGAACAAGGGTCTCTTGGTCATTTTTTTGAGGAAAGCTACCCCAGAGAGCCATCTGATGAGGGACAACTATATTAGATTGTTGTGTGAGTGAGAAATAAACTTTTGTTGCATTTAGCCATTGAAACCTCTGAATTATCTATTACAGCAGTTAGTCTACCCTGGCACAACTATGACAGTGGCTTTTATTATGTTCTTTGGGGACTCTAGATCTCCTAAGTGATGTGTTGGGGGATGCTATGATGGAGAATAGGGGAGGCTGCTTCAAATAGAACAGCTCTGCTTTCATATGTTTAATATTTGTAAGGTATGATGTATGCATGCACATGGTGAAGATTTCAAAAGGCACAAAAGGTTTTACATTAAAAATAAATTTTCACATCTTTATTCTCCTGTCTCCCATTTCCTCTTCCCAGGAGCAACTTCTGCTACCAGTGTCCTGAGTTTAAGAGATAATATATGTACATATAAGCATACATACTGGTAATATGTTTAACCAGTTCTTCATTAATGGACAATTAGTGTATTTCCAATCTTTTGCTAGTATAAACAATGGTACAATAATTATCCTTCTACTGTGTACAAGTCATTTCACACATATGCAAGTAGATTTTTAAAATGGATTCCTAGAGTCGGAATTGTCAGATTAAAAGGTATATGCATGGGCCGGCCCGTGGCTCACTTGGGAGAGTGCGGTGCTGATAGCACCAAGGCCACGGGTTCGGATCCCACATAGGGATGGCTGGTTCGCTCACTGGCTGAGCGTGGTGCTGACAACACCAAGCCAAGGGTTGAGATCCCCTTACCGGTCATCTTTTAAAAAAAAAAAGGTATATGCATGTTATGTTACATTTTGATAGATAGTGCCAAATTACCTTCCACGGGGTTGTACTGATTTATACTTCTACTATCGCTATACAAGAGGGGATGGCTCTTCACATCCTTGCCGATTACAATATATGATCAAATTTTTGCTACTTACTATTTCAATATGTGAAAAATAGTATTTCATCACACATTAATATATATTTCACCTACTATATGTGAGGTTTTACTACATTTTTCACAGGATAAAAAGCCATTTGCATTCCCTTTTCTGTGAACTGAACTCTTCATTTTCAACTGGGCTATCAATCTTTATTGATTGGTGGTAGTCCTTTAACTATAAAGGAAATGCACTTATCTTATACAATAGAGTTAAGGTCATTCAACCAATGGATTCTGCTGCTACAAAGCAAAGTTTGAAAATCACTACCTATGCTATTTTGCAACCTAGACTTGCCAATAAAAGCTTCCCCCTTCATTTCCTTGGGAATCTTTGTCACTTAGAGTCCCAACCAGTACCACTTACCCTCTGTGGTTGAAACTTGTATTAGTCCATTTTTGTGTTGCTTATAACAAAATACTTGGAACTGGGTGACTTATAAAGAAAAACGAAATTTATTTGCTTACAGTTTCTGAGGCTGGGAAATCCAAAGTCCCTGTGGCGACAGAGACCCAGGGGTCTCACATTGCAAGGTGGTGGAAGCAGACAGAGCAGAGAGACAGACAGACTCTCCTCTTCTTTTAAAGCCCTCAGAACCATGCCCCCGACCACCATTTTTAATCCATTCACTACTGTGCAGTCCTAAATCCAATCACCTCTTCAAGGCCTCACCTTCAACTAGCATAATAGGATTTCTCACCCTCTTAACAGTCACAGTGGGGGCTAAGTTTCTAATACATAAAACTTGGGAGGCAATTCAAGCTTCAATGAGTTTTGGGGGAAAATAATTCAATCCACTATAAAATACTAGGTCAGAGTTTCTCAATCCTGGCATTGTTGACATTTTGGCTGGATAATTCTTTGCTGCGGAGGGCTATCTTTTGCATTGCAGAATGTTTAGTAGCATCCCTGGCCTCCATCTGCTGGATGCCAGTATCTAATTTAGAGTACACTAATATTAAAAATAAGTAGAGGGTGGTTAAGGCCAGATTCAGGGAGGTTCTGAAAAACTGAATGTGAACTCGCAAGACTAGGAAATAACTTGAGATTCAGCCAAGTAGTTCTCAACCATCGGTAAATCTGAAGTCTATGTGGGAGTTTGTTTTGTTCTTGTTTTTTAAAAACATACAATTTCAGTCTCTCGTTCATCCTACCTGCATGCATACTGCATCTTTGACTTTTCAGCACACTAACAATCATATTGCTCACATAGCGTTTCTTGTAATTCATAAACGCCACAAGTGTGATTGATGTACAAAAAACATAAATGAATGAATAACAGGATGTCCATAAGCTTACACACATCTTTTTCTCAAAAAAGCTGGGATTTTTGTTTCTATTTTGATGGGATACTAACTCTCAACATTTCATATGTTACATTCCACCAATGTGGCTGAGAATCAATTTATGAAATATTTTGTAGGATAAGACAGGTAAAATAGGAAGAGAACAGGACCAAATATGTCAGCCAGGAAAAGTGAGGTGCCTATGTAGCCAGGAATTGGGGAGAGTATGAGATGAAAGCAAAGACAGCAGGATTTAGACATTGATTGGTTAGAGGGGATCAATCTGAAGGAAGGCTTTTAGGACAAGAGATTATCAATTTCAGAAATGAAAGGGAGTGACCAGTTGTAAGGAGGAGATTCTCAGTTTAATTTGAGGTACAAAGATTTTTGGATGTAGATAAACCTTAGAAATACATTTCCAATACTCTTATTTTTTTTAAGGAGGAAGAAACAGGAGCCTAAGTTGATTGCCTAACGTCATGCAGCTATCTGGTGCAGTACAGCCAGGACCTATGTTAAGCCTAAGGGATGGCTGTGCTCCAGGTAATGCCACACCAAGCACTAGCTCTAGAGCTACCACGTTTTATATGGGCCTTTAGGTTAGATATTGAGTGACAGTCCTAGCATTTCAGGGAAAGCGGAAAGTGGAGGGGCTTCACGTAGGGAAGGAACTGCAGTTTTTGAATTGTTATGTACCCCTCACTTCATAACTCACTTTACATATTATCTCATTTAATTCTACCACAACCCTGCAAAATAATTATTAACATTTTAAAGATGAGAAAAATTGGGTTTAGAAAAGGCTAAATTGCTCAAGCTAAAAGGGAAGAACTCCAAATTTTAATTAAACCCACACGTGTATAGGAGCCAAGTCCCGCTCTTTCCGTGCTCTCCTTACACTGACCGTTCCACCCAGTAAACTCATTCTGCACGTGAGAAAAGAGGGAATTCACACACATTTTGAGCCAAGCTGGAGTCATAGTGTTTGATCCCCAACCCCCCAGATCAAAGGTCTTTCCAGAGCGACACATGCCTTTAAGGATTTGGCAATCTGTACCACCCTACAAGCAAGGGGCGTGGGTTGGGGGGGGGGGAGCAGAAAAAGGACCCACAGAGGAATTGTCAGACGGTGTGAGGAGGTGGGAAGGGAGCTGCTTCCTTTCGCCTTTACACCTCCTGCCCATTAACAAAACCGAACGACTATCCAGCATATTTAAGGGGGCTAAGCCTCGGCCAGCTTCATGCCTCATCGCCGCTCAAGAGCTACGTTTTTCTTCTTTTTGGCCAGCACAGGCGTTCCGGGATGACCTCCCCCCTGGTGTGACCAGCATCAAGTTCTAACCAACTGAGCTCACGGCCAGCCCTCCGCAGCTGAGTCTTGACCATTAGCTAAACCGAGACAAGATTAAGGCAGGCAAGGCGCACACTTCAGGCAGAAGTGGAAGCTCGCAGCGGGAACCAAAAGTGAAGCCATCAGGGCGGCAGTGAGTTGGCCAGAGAGGCAGTTGGAGGAGGGCGGACGAGGCGGCGCTCGCCCTTCAGCCCGGCGGTTCCCCTGCGCCCGCTGCGGCCGACAGAGAGACCGCGTCGCCGTCTGCCGGGGAGCCGCTCCGCAAGAGGCCGCGGAGAGACGGTCCCGGCCTCGGGCGGAGCCCGGGCGAGCCCGGTGGGGCGGTTCTCGAGCGTGAGGTGCCGGTGGCGGCCGGGGGCTGCCCGGCGGCGGTGGCGCTGTGGCGGGAGGCGGCGGGTGGGGAACGAGAGGCTCCGGCGACGGCGGCGGCCGGAGAAGAAGACAATGGGCCGGGCCTGCAAGGCCTATCCCGGGAGGCGCCGCCGGCCGACGACTTCGACGACGACGACGGCGAAGAGGAGGAAGAGGCGGCGGCGGCAGCGATTGGGTACCGAGGTGCGCAGGGCACGGGCGGCAGGGACTGCGCATCGCCTCCTCCCTCTCCCGGGGCTTCTCTCGGCGTGGGCTGGGGGCTCTCTGGGGCGGTTCGGGAGCTCAGCGCTGGCTCCGCGGCGCCCCCTCCCCACGGCGGTCCTCTGCTGGCCTCGCTCCTCTGGGGCTGTCGGCCCTGCTGCGGGAGCTGCCCGCGGACCCGCGCGCTCCCTTCGCTCCGTCCGCGGCCCGCTTGGCCGGCCTTGCGCTTTGCGCAGTCGCCGGGTCGGGAGGCACTCGCAGGCGGCTTTAACATAAGTTTTCTCTCTCCCTTCCTGCTCTTTCAGTATATTGCTTCTGTTACAGATTTTTGCTTTTTTCCCCGCCCCCCTCCGCACACTTAAGTCGGCAACTTTTGGTTGTCCCGTTGATCTGCCCTTGCAATTGCTTTTGCAAACTGACACCTGTGCAGTTAAGTTACTTTTTTGAGGGTCTGTATTTTTAAGCCTGATGTGTTACACATTTCTAAACAGCAAAGTTGTTTTCAAGAACATAGCTGTTTTTTAAAAACGACATTGTCTTTCTGTGATGCAATTAATATTGGGCATAGGAGAGTGGTGGTACTTTTAGAGTAGTTCATATGAATATTATTTTTATTCTAATCATGTTCTTATATTTGTTTTTAGGTTGAGTATTTATATTTTTGCATATATATAATCCTGAAACACAAATTGACGTACATTTGGCATACTGAAGCTCATGTGCTGTATGTGTTACTGTCATCCTTGAGGGTTTCATATTTTTGATTTGAGGACTTTCTGTCCTTTAGGTATATATGTCTTTATCAATACGGTATTCGTGTCAGATCCATTCAGTGGATCGATCATTTGGCCATATGTAAAAGTAATGTATGCATTAGGGACTGGATTAGTAAAACAGCTCCTGATTTCAAGAAACAATTTAATAGGGAAACGAATAATATAAAGATAGCTTAGCTTAGTATTATATGAGTTAAAAATGCAAACTACCGCGGTTTTATTCAAACATTTTTGGGTAAATTTCTATTTGACAAATTTCATGAACTCTGTTATTTGTGATTGATAAGTTCAATCTAACTGGGTTACTACTTTTTCTGTTTTGATTTTTTTAAGTTGATTTAGTTTATTTCTACTTTTTGATGGACTGAAGCTTTCAGATTCTGAGCAGAATCCTTAAAGATGAGGAAACTGCTCCTGTGAACGATGCAAGCTGACCCCATAAGGCATTCTTCACAGGGCCCGGTAGGAATGTTAAATGCTTTATTCAGAGAAAATGGTTGCATCACAACCATTAATGGTCTTCCTACATTTTAGATGCAAATTGTTTCAGCAGCTTGGAATTACTTTTGGTTTCTTTTGCAGATAACCTTCTGTTTGGTGATGAAATTATCACTAATGGTTTTCATTCCTGTGAAAGTGATGAGGATGATAGAGCCTCACATGCAAGCTCTAGTGACTGGACTCCAAGGCCACGGATAGGTATGGTTCAGAGTTGTGCATCTTTAGAGAGTAAATGCCCTGTTTGACTTTTGTATTTTCTTTTATGACAGATTTTAATTTTCTGCCCCCTTAACTTTATTGATGAGGTTTTTAAGTATGTGGTGAGACTTAATTAATGTCAGCTTATGTTTTTAAGGAAAGTCTATAGAGCGTTGTTCTTTTTTTATTTTTAAACAGCTCAGGTCCATTGGAATCTGGCCACTGCTGCTACTCAAACAGCCAGGTCCTTCTCATACTTTGGTTTCTTTTCATTTGTACCCTTTTCATGGAATACTCTTCATCCAGTTAGTCTTCTTTCCTCACTTTATATCCCTTCTTTATTTTTTCTTAACACATCACTTCTTAACAAGCTCTGTGTCATACTTGTTTTCTAGTATTCTTTTTTCCTGTGCTAGAATACGTGCCTCCATGGGGGCAGGGGTTTTTGACTGACTACTGTACTACTGTTTTTGTCAGTACCTAGAAAAGAGCCTGGCACATAGTTTGTACTCAGTAAATATTTACTAAATATGTGAATGAATTGAGAAAATATTTTGAAGTAGAGAGGATTATCAAATTTTTATACCAAAGGCATGACACGACCTCTTGATAAATGATCTTTTTCTTGTGCTCTTACTCTTTTCAAATGGCTCGACTAGTTAAACATAGTGATTATTAGTTCCTCTCTTTAGAGTCTATAATATTTTTCATTTTCTCAAGCTAGGAAACTGATCTGAGCAACTTCACGGCAACATAAAATTATCAATGCTCAAAACATCAGCGTTCTATGTATCATCTTAGGAGATTGGTTAAGTTGAAATTGAAGGTATTACTGGGAAAATTTTAAAAGATAGTAGTTATGCATAGATTTCCTTTTCTTTCTTTGTCCTTAATGATGAGAATAGTATGGGCTTTCAGGACTGGTAAGACATTTTCTGTATTGGCTTGTAGAACCTTTTTGCAAATACTTTTTGTTATTTAGGGTCTATGTTTCTAGATTTTAGCCATAAAAACTTAATTTTGGTATTTGACTCAAAATATATACTTACAGCTCAAGGATGTCCTCCCAGCTCTTGATTAGATCTCTCTAATCTCACTGGGATATAGCATTAACTCTAAAGGTATCCTGAGAATGAAGCACCCTTAAACTGCATTTTTTTTACTTTGCAAAAATACCTTGTAGATTGCTAACTCGTTACTTCAAAAGTAACTGAGATTTTGAATTACTTGGAAGTGGATTTGATCTAAGACTTTTTTCCCCCATGATATAGGTCCATATACTTTTGTTCAGCAACATCTCATGATTGGCACAGATCCTCGAACAATTCTTAGAGACTTACTACCAGAAACAATTCCTCCACCTGATTTGGATGATATGACATTGTGGCAGCTTGTTATTAATATTCTTTCAGAACCACCAAAAAGGAAAAAAAGAAAAGATATTAATACAATTGAAGATGCTGTGAAATTACTGCAAGAGTGCAAAAAAATAATAGTTCTAACTGGAGCTGGGGTATGTAAGATGTATAAAACACTAGTAAAAGGGGGAGGTGTGAAATGTTTTTTCCTATTTCATTTCCAATTAAGAAACATTTCTCTGGTTTAGAAGAGTTTATCCTTACATGATAATGGGTGTTTGAAAACAGCCCAAAACTGTGTGCAGCAGCAGTTCCTAAATTGGTTTAATTTTTTAAGAACCTCTCCAACAGCTTTGAAAAATACTTGTTTCTGTTTATTTACAGTACAGTAGGAAAGTGGAGTTAAGGCAGGGTTTTTACTTATATTAAATCACAGCACCTAAAGGAGATGTAGGGAATTATAATTCTTTTTGCATTAAGGTATGTCATGGTCTGATAGAGAATTGGATATTTAGTGGAGAAACCAGGAATCTAGTTGGTATTCATAAGAAATTAGTGTTGGGAAAGTAATATTCCTACCTTCCCTCCATATTAAATTGAGATGATATAATTGTGGTGACTTAACATTTTTCATTTGACTCACCTTAGGATCACAGTTAGTTACCTAAGGCAATTGAGTATTGTGTGTTGAATACAGTACAGATGTTCCTTGACGGAATGGTGCGGTGACATTCCTAAACCCATCTGAAGTTGAAAATAATTGCAAGTTGAAAATGCATTTAATATACCTAGTCTACCAAACATTGTAGCTTAGCCTAATCTCCTGTAAATGTGTTCAGAATGCTTACATTAGCCTGCAGTTGGACAAAATCATCTAATACAACACCTGTTTTATAATATTAAATATTGTTTGTTTTATTCTGAGGTCAATGTGGAGTCAACTCTTGGTAAAACTGTGAAACAAAATGTTAACTTCTGAAATCCCTATTTGTAGAAAAATATAGTGTCTAAATCTAATTTAAAATTAAGAATTGAAATATTATACAACATAACTTTTAAGGAAAATAAAGAAATTCAGTATTCTTGAGGTAGTATAGAATCCTAACTGTAGTAGAGATTTCTTTGGAAATACTTGTCTGTAATAGAAGTTCTTGGTTAGCTCAGTTTGTTAGAGCATGGTGGTGTAACACCAAGGTCGAGGGTTTGGATCCCTGTACTGGCCAGCTGCCTAAATAAATAAATAAATAAAAATCAATCAAAGAAATTCTTGCCTGCTTCCTAGTTAAAATTATTTGTTGAAATGGTTTACTCCCTTCTCAATCAAATTGCATTTGCTTTAATTTGTTGACTAAATGCTTAAAGGTTTAAAATAAACCTGTCTCCATCAAAAACCCAATATGTGGTGGATTTACTTATTCTCCTTTATTTGGGTGTCTTATTTCTATTTGAAATTATAGCAGGGTAGTATTTCTGTTCCCCCAAAAGAAGTCATAAAACAAAAATGTTCTTTTTCAACTCTTCCTAATTGTATGGTAAGAGAGCTAGTAATTATAGAGGTAGAAGATTTAATTGTACAAATTATGCCATGCATATTTCAGGTATCTGTTTCATGTGGAATACCTGACTTCAGGTCAAGAGATGGTATTTATGCTCGCCTTGCAGTAGACTTCCCAGATCTTCCAGATCCTCAAGCAATGTTTGATATTGAGTATTTCAGAAAAGATCCAAGACCATTCTTCAAGTTTGCAAAGGTACTATTAACTCTTCTAGTTGTTTCTTTGACTTGCTCTCCTGAAAAAGTATTTTGCTCATGTACAGGCTTCTTGAGCTGACCATTCATTGTCTGGTAAACTGAGTGCTACTACTATGGTATGGAGTAAAATCACTCATTATAGTCAGAATCCCTTTTTCCCAGAAAAGACTATCATCTACTTTTCTTCATTTTAGGATCGAGCTTATTTTCAAAGAAGAAACAATTACATTTTTTAAAAGTTTGTACTTCAATTATGGTCTTTATTTTGCCTGGGCATTTTTTTAGAGGTTCATAGACAATATAAAAGTATCCTAACTGGATTTTTAATATATTTTAAGGGTCATAAAGATTATATCATCCACGTTGTTGGTGTTTTTTTTTTTTTTTTTTTTTTTTTGAAACCGGCTGCACCCCGCCCAGCCAGGGAGTGCTGTGAGCGCACCGGTCATCCCTATATAGGATCCGAACCCGCGGCGGGAGCGCTGCTGCGCTCCCAGCGCCGCACTCTCCCGAGCGCGCCACGGGCTCGGCCCCCACGTTGGTGTGTTTTAACATATGAGGATGTGCCTGAAAAATCATTGGTGATTAGGGGTGGAGAAGATTCTTAGGTTGCATTTTTGTCAGGATCCTTATTCTTCTGTACAGTCTCTAAAGTTGTACTGTCCAGTTCAGAAGCCACTAGCCACATGTGGCTGTAGAGTACTGAAGTGTGTTGAGGTGTGCCGTAAGTGTGGAAGTCGTACAAGATACTAGAGACCTAGTGTGGAAACATAAAATGTTTCATTAATTTAACTAAATATTGACAAATAAATATTGATTATATGTGAATGTGGTACTTTTGACATGGCTTAAATATATTTTGGAATTTTCTCCATTTTAATGGGGTTACTAGAAAATTTTAAATTACTCGCATGGCTTACATTATATACCTACTGCACAGCTCTGCTCTAGAGCATAAAGTTTAATAATGCATTATACCGTGCCAGAGATTTCAGTTGTTAGGAAACTTTTGGTTTTTCTCTGTAGTTCAGTCTCTTAAAAAGAAATTGCAAAATTGTTATTGTTAAACTTGGAAGTATATTTGAAAAAGGGTCTTTTGTATTAGTGACTATTTTTTAGTGAATCTGAGTTTTTCATCTACTTTCAAACTATGTGATGTATTTACATAAAGCTTGCCTAAGTCAGAATAAATGGTGTTAATTTAAATTCGTGAAGCCATGAAAACGGGAAATACTATTGGTGAAATTTAGACATTTTGGAAGGAAAGAGAATTTTTTCTATACCATATATCAGGCCATTGGTTGTATGTAATTATTGAGAAGAAACTTATATTTTACTTAGAATGGAAACTCCCAAGTAATGGAGGGGTGTGTTCAAGAGGTTACTAGTCTATTAGAGCAATTGCCTAAACTCAGTGCTATTGACATTTTGGGCTGGATATTTCTTTGCTGTGAGGTGGCTTTCCTGTGTACATAGGATGTTTAGCAGCATCACTGGCTTCCCCTCACTAAATGCCATTAGCATCCCCACCTCCAGTGTCTTCAGATGGGGCTGAATGTCCCCTGCTAAATTGTTCACTGTTCGAGTACCATTGTATTACAGTGTGCCTTGCTGTGGTACACTTTGCATTCTTTTACACAAGAACAGTTAAGACCACTTTTAAAGCTGTATAGCCATGTTCTGAGCCATGATCATATCCTTCTGCATAATAAGGACTTAAACTGATAAGGAGTTGTGGTCATGGTTCTCAGGAACCTAAAAAATAACTCATTGATACTTATCCCCATCATTAAGCAGCACATGACTATATACCTGTCCTAGTTTAAAAAAATAAAATAAAAAATGCCAACGGTACAAAACATAAAGTATTAGTCAGCCTTTTCCTTCAGTATTCCGTACCCCTAATCTCTCTCCTCAAAGATTACCATGATAAGGCTGGCCTATTAGCTCAAATGGTTAGAGCATGGTGCTAATAACATCAAGGTCCAGGGTTCGATCCCTGTATGAGCCAGCCACCAAAAAAGGGCCTCCAAAACAAAAAGGTACCACGATAAAACTTTTTCTTGGATTTCCTTCCAGGGAAAAAAAAATCTGTGTGGGTGGGGGTGGTGGAGAAATGTTAGTGTAAGTTTTTAAGAAATAATGAACGACTGGGATATATTTTGAGAAATACGTCGATTTTGTCATTGTATGAACATCATAGAGTATACTTCCACTAACCTAGATGGCATAGTCTACTACACACCTAGGCTATACGGTATAGCCTATTGCTCCTAGGCTACAAACCTGTACAGCATCTTTCTATACTGGATACTGTTGACAGTTGTAACATAATGGTAAGTACTTGTGTATGTAAACATAAAAAAGGTGCAGTAAAAATACAGTATGAAAGATAAAAAATGGCACACCTGTATAGGGCTCTTACGATGAAGGGAGCTTTCAGGACTGGAAGTTGCTCTGGGTAAGTCAGTGAGTGAGTGGTGAGTGAAGGTGAAGTCCTAGGACATTGTCGTACACTACTGTAAACTTCACAAACACTGTACACCTAGGCTACACTATTAAATGTATAAAAAAAATTAAGTAATTTTTAGCACATTATGGTAGCTACAAGATCACTGATAGGAATTTTTCAGCTCCACTATAATCTTATGGGACCACCATCATGCATGCGGTGTGTCACTGAGCAAAATGTCACTTTGTGTCATGTGACTGTTACATAATGGCACTTAGATATGCCACAGTATACCAATATACTCTTATTTAATCAGTCTATTAATAGCTATCTAGGGTTTGTTTTTTTTTTTATTGCAATGTATTTATGGGGTATAGAGTTATACGTATGGGGTGCAGAGTTATATTTCAATACAAATAGTTAGAGAACAGCCTTATAACCCCAAGGTCAATATATGTATATAATGTGAGATGATCACGTCAGGGTAATTAGCATATTCATCGTAGCAAAACTTAATCATTTCTTTGTGATGTGGACATTTGATCTTTCTTCTAGCTATTTGAGAACATGCAGTAAATTACTGTTAATTATAGATGCTTAGCTCGACTGTACACCTATATAGGATTGGTTTTAAGGCAGTTTAAAAACTTATTACTATACCAGCCAGCCGCCCAAAAAAAACCCCAAAAGTGTAAATTTAATAGGTAAAAACTTAGCATCTTACATTATTGTTCTGTTTTTATTAGTGTGGATGACTAATTTTTACTACTGGCCCTGTGTATATCTTTGAATTATCTCTTTGTTCTTACCCATTTTTCCCCTATTTGTTTTTTTTTTTTTTTTTTTTTTTTTTTTCCGTGTCCGGCAACAGATCGCAACCCTCAGTGTTGCCCCCGTACCAGACCGGGGACCGGCAACGGGATCGCAACCCTCAGTGTTGCCCCCGCGCCTCGCTCAGCCAGTGAGCGGGAACCGGTCTGTATGTGGGATCCGAACCCACGGGCGGGAGTGCCACCGCGCTTCCCAAGCGGCGCACTTATCCAGTGCGCCACCAGGCCGGCCCCATTTTTCCCCTATTTGTTTTTTTTTTTTTTTTTTTTTTTTTTTTCCG